AAAACATGTCAGTAAACAGAACAATCAAAAGCAAGTCACCAGTGCTTTTTGCAGTAGCATACTGTGGTGACTTGCAAATGACCCAGCTTTCAAAGGATTCTTGCCCTCCTGGGGAAACTGCATGTGTGCATGCATGCACATGTGCATGTGCACACACATTTACTTTACAGTAATGCCCTTACTGTTGGCTGGCAGCTGTGTGTTCTGAAAAGCAGACTTCCATTCTTCAAAGCTGAGTTGGGGGGACAGACAACTGGAACTCGATGTGCTAGACCTATTAGAGATGTCGATCTCTGGTAAGTTGCTTTCTGTGTTTTAAAAATAACTGGTTATTGCTATGTGATATGGGTAAAATGCTGATGCTATTTTGTGGTTTAGTAGAATTGGAGAATGTGGATTTTGTATTTTATGATATTGTCTGACTTAAATATTAATTACATGTAAGCTATGAATTTGGTGTGTGATGACTTGTGCTATCCAAGGAGATTTGCATCTTAATGGTAGCACAAATTTAGGATATAGGGAGGTGTGATGGGTAAGATATGCATCCCCATATATAAGGAGAAGTCTGTTCTAAAACAGCTGAGGGTGAGCCTGCAGGTAACTGCTCTGGCCTGAATAATGGGACTGGCATTCAGTACATAGGGAACCCCCACCTCCTCTTAGTACAACTACCCTGAACTGCCACAGGATGTTCTTGTTTCCCACAAGACTTGCTTGCTTTCCTAACCTCTTGGTAGCACTAGGGAAATGTGAGACAAACACCCCTCTTAAAAGCAGATATTAGATTAGTACAGTTTCATGAAGTGCAAGCTGTATATTGAAGGAGTCACCAGTACCAGTGCTACCTGACGGTTGCTGAATAAAGGGGTATAGTTGGGAGGATGTAAGCAAGGAGGACTGGGGAAAGAAGGGATGTCATAGAAGGGACCTATTACACCTGGGCAAAAGGAACATCTTCGATCAGCCCCTCTCCCTCATGAGCCTTACCAAGCTGGGACGTAGAAGTTGCTTTATTACAAAGCCTGGGACATCCTGGGCGCAACAGAAAGGATCTTTGCAGCTCCTCCATCTGGGGCTTGTACTCCGATTCGAAGGAGCCAATGGCTCTGATATCAGCCTGGCAAACAGGAGGAAATGGAGGCACCTCATTTAGAGTGTGCTCTGTGATAGTAGACACCTGGAGTCAGGTGTGTGGGATAATGCTGTGAATCCACCAGGGCCAAGCAGAGGATGGGAAGTTCAGAGCAGCTTGTTCTCCTGGCTGCCCAAGAGCATCTTCCTTTGGAACCTACAAGGGACAGAAGCTGTGGTCTCAGGGCCCCCTTCCCAACCCCCATCTGCAAGGTGCTGGGTCCTTCCTACAGGGACTCAGCACCTCCCAACGCTGACCCTGAGTAATTGGCATTCCTGGGGCAGCTCCTCGTTGGCCCCTCCCCCAGAGTTGCTCTGTCTTAGACATGGTGTGCACCATTGCCCATCTAAGTACTTGGCTGTCATAGTAGCGCTGGATGGCCTGGGCAGATTTGCTGAGGGCAGATCTGCCTCTGGGAAGCTTCCACATGGGGCTCTGCTGCCGTCGGTTGCTCAGTTCCTGCAGCTCGCCAAGCCCCTTAGCCAGCAAGTTCATCTTGCCAACAGACCCCGGATGCTGAAGACTAGAGCAGGCAATAGACAGGGAGCCTGGGGAGTAGAAAAGCCCAGTTAGACTGTGCTGCTCCTCCTTGGTGCTGCTGCTTCCTGTCTCAGCCCTTGTCACCAGGAGTGTTGATGCTATTCTGTATTGAGGGAAGAATCTTGCAGTGGTGGCACAGGACAGGCCAGCAGCCTGATGCTGTTGGGATAGGCACAGCAACCTTGCTCAGGGCACGCGCTGCCATGGTGAGCAGCAGGCTCTGCAGAGGGCAGGCCCAGAGCAAATGCCAGCCCAGGCCTTGCACAGGCAGCATAGCTGAGGGCTTGCCTTCCCTTCAGTATCTAGCCTAAGCAACGGCCTATGCATGAACATCCCACCAAGGTGTGAATTTTAATGGGGGCCACTGGCTCTACCCCCCCAACCCTCCCCCAAGGCCTGACCCTGAATGAGGTGGCTCCTGGGGCTGCAAGGGGACCACATACCAAGGTTTGCCCAGCTCTTGGGCATGCGCAGCCCTGTGCCCTTCTCCCCTTGGACCCTGCTGACATAGGGGCTTGCCCATTCATTAATCTGCCTACCAGTTTGGGGCCCTGACCCCAGGGTACTTATCAGCAGGGAACTGAAAGCTGCAGTTTTAAACCTGGCACCCATTTTTGGCACCAAGCTTCAAACTGCGGCTTTCACGTTTACTTCCCTGGGACCTAGAGGTGAGCCCCTCCACCAATGGGGCTGGGGAGGAGGGGGGCAGAGCTGGGCTCGGGCTGGGACAGCCATGCTGGGCCTGCAGGAGGGGGCTAAGCCAGGATAGGGGAGCTGGGGGGGGGGAGCAGTTGGGCTGGGCCAGGAGCACTGTGCCATGCTGCACCTTTGTGGGTGGTGGCACTGGGAGGGCCTTAGGGGCTAGAGCCCCCCAAAATTCATCTTGGCCCTGCCGCAGCCACCCCTCCCCGTGCCACTGCCCACCGGCAGAGACATGGTGTGGCGCTCCTGGCCAGCGCACAGCACCTCCCTGCGGGTCAGTGTAAGGGGGCCGGGTGGGGAGTGAGACTGAGCTGTGGGGGGCTTGGGGGGGGCTGCCTCCGTGTGATCGGGAGAGGGGAGGTCTTGTGAGGGGAAAGTGTGTGTGTGTGTGTGTGTGCGCGTGCGTGCGCGTGCGTGCGCACCCCCCAGCTTCAGGAGGCACCAGGGGTCCACCCGGCCTCCCCCGCCAGCACGAGGAGGGGAAGGGGCCCCTCTCCTCTCTTCTCCTCTCCCGCCCCCAGCCCAGCTCCCGTGCGGGGCCCAGCGCCCCTCCACCTTCACTCGCCTCCGCCCGCTGGAGCCGCCCCC